ACGAGCTTAAAATTGTGTTTTGAGTTTTTCAAATTAACCTCTTGGACAATATTCCAGCCGAACTTTCATGGAGTTGAGCGGGACGATCTACTGAATATGCTTTAAATTTCAAGTTTAATACTTGTCAATTAGGGCCCAAGTCGATATTAAAACTTGACCATACTAATTTAAAAGTTAGTTGGCAATCCTAATTTAAAAGTTTCTGCCTGTTTTAATTATATCCTTGAGTCTTTTGGAATATCTTGTAATGGTCGCAATCAAATTTCTTATGATACTGAAGATCAAGCTTTGATTATGTATTATTATTTTATTAGGAAGGTATTCTGTGCCAGAAGGAACTTGAATAAGATATTTCTTTAAAGGTCAATGATCTTACTATTGAGAGCAAGAAATGACCTACTAATCTGTGGTTGATTCTGTTGGGAGCTTAGTTGAGGGACAGATCATAAATGGACAGCGTTGGGGGGGCTTGTGGGCTGCTACTTGCTAGTCAACTTTTGGACAATATATAAACTTAAAAAAAGAAAAAAAAAAAAAAGGAAGAAGATTGAAGGAAGCTTCTGAAATTTAATTAATAATTCTAGGAATTAATTGATTGGTACAACCAATTGGTTTGATTTTTCATCTGGTGTTGATTGAAAATTATAATTCCTCTGATATTAGTGGTCCATCATGAGTGCTTTGATTGCGTTTCAGAGGATCAATCTGCTAATTTCTTCATTTGATATACTGGGAATCTTTGGTTGAATTTTCTTGATCGTCATTTCTTACTTTTGATTTGGTCAATCTCCTTTTACGTGTAACTTCAGTTTTCCAAAGTTGAAGTGAGCTTGCAAATACAGTCTTCTAATTGAAGAAAGTGCAGAAAGGGACCATGGACTAACAAGATTGGTCAAATTCATTAAGCATGAAGATAACTTGCCAGGGCTATTTGAGTGACTTGTTTGTGAAACCATGACTAGAAGGGACACTAGATAATTGTCCTTTTATTTTTTTCGTATATGAAAATGAAAGGCTTGCTCATATGTATCGATTTATATTTGGAAAGCAAGTAGTGCTATCTTTTTTTTGTGGATTTTTAATATGGTTCTCTTTCTATCAACATCTCCTTTCAAGTTGTTTCGCATAAGTTGCTATGTTAAGTCTGTAACTAATTCAAACTTCTGCCTGTTGCTGCAGAATTCATTGTTCATATACTTGACAAAACCATTGCAAGGTATAACTTAGATTAGTTCATTATTAGCCTTAAATTATTAATGGTATCGGTAGGACTCTTTCACAATAGCGTTATTAGTGATCAGCTATTGTCATCAACAGAGACAGGGCTGCTGTGAAATAGGCCATTACCCTTTTATTGGGGGAGTTTGGGTACAGTAGTGGGTAATGATGATCCTTTTTATCCCCACTGTCCCTCCCCTCCCCTCCCCTCCCCTTGGAAACAAAAGACTAACAATGAAAGCAATCTGTTATTTTATTTTATCTTTAATATAAAGTCTTGTAGGAATAATGGATTGTGGTATTCTGATTTGAATTCATAATTTTCATTTCAGTTCCTTCAAAGGAAGAGAGATCGGTGATGAAAAGCTAGTAGGTATTCTTGACTTAAAGGATATCTCATACAAGAATGTAGATGCTCGTGCTTTAATCACTGGTTTCCAATTCCTACAGGTAAACCACTTGGATTGTCTTATATGAGAAAACCATTTAGATTATTTATGGAGGGGCATCATATAAATATGGTGACTGGTCTGTAGCTAAAGAGAATGTATGCATCTGTTCTGTTTTGCGGACATGGGTAATGGATCCCATCAATATGTGTATGTATATAATATGTGCCCTCAAATGAAACAGAATCAAGAAGTTGATATGCATTTACAGTTCATAAGAGGATACAATTGGTTTGGCACCCAGAGTGATCCTGATGGCATAAAGGAAGACATTCATTAACGCCTAGTATAAGATAATAAACGTTCTTCTTGCTGCTCCAGCGGCTTTTGCCATCTAGCTTTCTAACAATTTTTAGCAATAATTAACCTTATTTAAGATTCAGATGAAGGGATTTTTCATTTTCCTTATTTATGTGTATTTTAAGGACCTCATTATTGGCAAATGGTTTTAAGGCTACTCCTTCCCCTTATTCTCATCTCAGTTAGCAAACCAATGATTGATCTCTGTGTGAGTCTTATCATCATGAATAGAACATGTTAAAGCCTGGTTCCAAATGATCATCTACCATGAATAGGTCATGGGCTAAGATCTACAAACCTAATGTCAAATAGAATTTGATATTCAAGGAGAAGGACAATCATCAGATCTGTCTACACTCAAGCTTGTTAAGACAGATTATTGTTCTGCTTCACTGTAATAGCATCATGTCAGTCCATGGATCGTTTAGGTTATTGGCTAAGATCTTTAAACCTAAGGTCAGATGTAATTTGAATCCCTGGAAAAGGACAATCCTCAGATCTGTCTACATTCAATTTCCTCAAGAAAGATTCTTGTTCTGATTTACTGTAACATATTTGCTTCTCCAACTCATTCACTTTGGCATTGTGCAATTCTTTCTTGTTATGAAATTACATTGAAATCTCTTATATGTGTAGGCTTACTACCCTGAGCGCTTAGCCAGATGTTACATTGTACATATGCCCCGGTTCTTCGTGAGTGTATGGAAGATGGTTTCATACTTCCTTGAGAAAGCAACTCTTGAGAAGGTATGTTTGATGTGCAAACATTCCTGTATATTTATCTTAAAATTAGCAGGCAGATAATAACTAAAGTCCTGCCAGCATCCATACATAGGATGAAGCCACCAAACCTAGTAAAAATAAACAAATGCAATTTAAGTTCTCTGTTTGAGCATATGTACTTTCTTGAATCTTGCTTTAAAAATCTTGCTAGAGATTACCCTCATGTGCGCAACTATCAATCGTTAAAACAAGACAATAACGCGCAGAAATACTAATACAAGATCCATCTTTTTAGTGATGATTCAGTTTTGAAGTCCACAGATAATGATATTTTCTCTTCTTTTTTCCCCCTCCTTTTTCTTGTTTTCGGACTGGTTGATTATTGTTCTGCAGGAGTATAAAGCTAATTAATTCAATCTTCAACATAAATAAAAGTTTTCCAGTCACATCATGCGCCAATAAGTTGTCAAACTGCCATTCTTATTATTTCTTAATCTATTACACACAGCTTGCCTCTTTATGTGATCAACTGCAAGAGCAGTTTATGAAATTTGCACGTTCGTTTCTCTGAATTCAAATAGTATCAGCATTGCCATTGTTAACAGATTCTAGGATCTCTCTTAATCTCAGCTGTTTGAGGCTTATTTTTCTCTCTTTTGTCTGATTGCAGAAACATATGACAACATCTTTTAATAGCTATCTCTTATATTGAAACTTGTTATCAGGAGAATTCACCGATGATGGTTACAAAAAGTAGCATATAAGTGTGTTTAGGCGTCCAAATCCAATAACTTTCGAGTATAGATCTTCTTTTTGAAGTACATTAGTTTTCTAAAATCGAACTTAAATAGCTGATTTTAAATGATGAACACAGATTAAGATCGTGACTAACGAAGCGCAAAGGAGGGAGTTTATCCAGGACATAGGCGAAGAAACTTTGCCTGAAGTGTATGGAGGGCGGGCAAAGCTTGTACCCATCCAAGATGTGGTATTAGCTCCATTGAACCATTAGACCAAACAGTCTAGATTTTGGTGTTACATCAAATTACTGCAACTGATTCATGGATGATACTTGAAGGAAAGAGAAAGGAAAAGGAAAGCAGTGGGAAAGGAATAAATTGTTTTCAAAGTGGATGTATTCTGACTGCTCCTGGACTTAATTTGTAGTATCTTTTATTACGAATAGTACTAATCATGAAACCACTCCTATGGTCTTTTATTGTGTTCCCAAATTCGGTAACTTAATTCGAGATGCAACTAGAGATTAATTAATGACTAAATAAGTTATTTAAATCCTGTATTTGCTTAGTTCCAGCTTGAGTGAATATGGAACAGGGTTGTGCATCAATACAATCATCTATATTTTCCCTTCCCCAAAAAGGCAAAGGGTAAATTACATATGATCCTCTGTAGTTCTTCATATCACCAGCTGACTCTGCTAAGATTTCAAAATAGCCACATTTGTGGCTTTATATAAGGTGGAAAATGGATGGAAAGTACCAACGACTAGGGAAATTAATGAAACGTGCTCTAAAAATGTGTGTGATGGGATCATAATATTCACTTAATCCCCTTATGATTTGCATGAAAATTTACCTTATTTTTCTATAATTTTTGCGTTTATCCACATAATTCCCTTATATTTTCACGCAAGATGGTCATGATTTAGTACATTAATAAGGGCAATACTAGCATTTTAATTAACGATGTTATGGAGGCTATTTTTCGTCAAATTTTAACTTTATATGAAACCACATGGAGATTATGTGGATATTTGGAAATGTTTCCACGGATGTTACGCGTAATTTACCCAAAGAAAAATCATATCACCATCTTCTGTTGTTTTATGAGATGACCATTTTCAATTGTTTTATGGTTTACCATAATATAGAAATCCCCATCTTTGTTTTGAATGTACACCAACCTCCCATTTCTTCAATGTTTGTAAGACAAACTTCTCTTACTCTTGATTTAGTGGTAATATTTATTCATATAAAGCATGATTCTTTAATAAACATTAAAAAAAATTATCTGATTTATGTAACATCTTAGCATTTGATTGGAGAGATCGATGTAAATTCAAAAATAAAAATAAAGGAATTTCCCTATTTAAGATAAACCTAAGCATGACTCAATCTTTTGAAGTGCGAGGGACAAAGTATTTTGACAATCTAACCTCCAACTAGAGAATTAAGGGTTCAGATCAAGCATTATGTAAATCCTTTTTACAGAATAATTTAGCAAAACTTCATTGGTTTTGCAGTGGTGATCTTGTTCATAAGTAGTTTAAAGAGCCAAAAAGCTGATAAAGAAGACAAATCGCACAATGCTATATGTGCTCGAATTTATTCCAACTCCACCGAACCATCACAAGAAGGGTCACATGTGCATTTATTTCTTCATAATTTAGGTTTCTAGTGAAGTTCTTGGAGCATACAAGCAGTCACAAGAACCTTGGATTTATTTAAGGGCAGAAAACAACCCTATAATTTGTACCACTTGGGCAAGTAACAAAACTTGCAGCATCTCCAGGATAGCTGGAAGCATCAGGGCACCTGTCCTTAAAGAACTTGGAGAAGTTTGTCGGGCCACAGTTTTGAGGGCCGTTGGCGCAACAGTACTTATTTGTTTTAAAAACAGTGCAGGGATTGTTGCATCCACCTCGAGTTCTTAGCTGAGTTGGGCACTGATCAACAATAGGTGCTGAACATCTGATATCACGGCAAGAAGAAGTAACGGAGCTGATCCCCAACGGGATGTTGAATCCTTCAACGAGTTTAATGTCGATGACGTCTTGGTTATTAAGCCGGTTTAGGGCGAATTCAGCTACTGTATTCGGAGGCTTTCCATAGCCTTGGCATTCAAGGCGCCCGCTGCAATCACCTGTTTGACATTGGCCTTGGCCATTGGCATCAAATTTGCAACTGGTTCGGCCCCAAATGCGAGCGTTGGCGGTGCCAGGAGCCACATCTAGGGGCCATGATTGGCCTTTGTCGAGTCGCCTGCCACCACCTGGGGAGGCAGCTGCCCAGACTGGGTAGCTACATTGGTTTATGATGTTGACATTTGCAGCATGGGTTAAGGTTAAGCATGAAGTTAGGCACAAAACCAAAAGGGACAAAGTGTAGGTGAACTTCATGATGTTTCTAACTTTCCAATTGAACTAGTAGCTGCTGCGGTTTCAAGATGCCACAGCTAGGGGTTTATATAGGGTGATTGGTTGCTACGATTTTGCGTGTACAAGTTGATCTCCTAACAAATTTTTGCATCAGAAATTTCCGAGATGTTGATGGTCTTGTCTTTGTATCCTAGGAATGATTGAAGAAGATGCGGATGTGTCCATAATCCTTCCGCATAATTTCGGTCAAAGTCTCATCCCTCATTGTTCTATTTATCTAGTCATTTGAACTTGACTCTTCTTTCAATCAATGTTCCAATGCTTTTCCTCAAGTGTTCAATTCGTGGATTACCTCTACCGAAGATAAAAAATAAAAGGGCAAATTATATATAACCTCCCTTAGTTTCATCCATTGCTACATGATCCCCCTAACGTTTCAAAATATCCACGTTATGATTTTATGTAAAGTGAAAATTTGATGAAAAATAGCCTACATAACGTCGTTAGTTGAAATATTAATAGTGCCTTTACTTAAATGCTAAATCAATCGATGGCTTAACCACCTTGTATAAAAGTATAGAGAGATTGTACGGATAAATGCAAAAATTGCAGGGATAAAGTAGATATTTATACAAATCATAAGGAGTTACGAGGATGTTAAAATTTTATCACGCACATTTTTAAAGTGCATTTGGTATAAGCTCCATAACTGATTATACATTATGTCCTTTTTCCACTTTACATAAAATTACAGGGGTTATGTGACTATTTTAAAATCTTAGGGGCCCATTTGATATTATGCAAAACTATAAGGGGGTAATAAGTAATTTATCGAAAATAAAATGACTCGAATTTTCTGTTTGGGTGAAGTTTTTGTTAACCACATTATTCCTACTTTCTAAATATCACAAAAAGTGGTTATTAATAAAATGTTATATTGCAATTTTCCCACAAACATCATTCAAAACAATTATCTTATCACCTAATTAGTGGAAAGAATTAGCAATATATGGATATTTATTAGCCACACCGAAGTGTATGTTCAAAATAAAAAAAAAAAAAATGATGATCGGAATTAAAACAGTTGGCTGTAGTTGAGATGATGGCAGCTAAGGAATCGATGGAACCATGTGGAAGGAAGGATGGAGAAGATCCATTTTTGAAAGTGACTCTTCGGATACGATCAGGCTTCTAAATGAGGAGGATGAAGATCTTTCTAAACGGGGTCCTTGGCAAATGATATCCAGTTTGCAAAGAATCAGTAGTGCCTTTCTTTGCAGCTTGGGCAGTTCCAAGATCTTGTAATAACGTGGCACATAAGTTGGCTAGACATGCTAAGTTTTGTTGATGATTCAGAGAATTGGCGGAAATATCCACCTCCTATCGTTTCCTCGGCTGTACTTTCTTTCTGATTGTTTGGTTGAATGACATATTTTATAACGTTTTTATGAAAAAAAAAATATTAGCTTATATTTACCGATATCTGTTATGAGGCCGTCGTTGTCAACATTTGAGTATTACATATCATTTCAAATTTTCTCGGGAGAGGAGATAAGTGTTTCGAAAGAAGAGAATATAAGTGAGAAATCTCGATAAATTTTTTTTTAAAAAAAGATCATTTCAAATTTCACATTTAGGCAGAATAATGATAAGGTGTAAATGAACTAAAACTCGGTAAACTTTGTCCCTAGTTACACTTTACGTTTAAACTCAATATACAGATATTTTGTCCCTAGTTACGCTTTACCCTTGAACTCAATATATAGATATTTTGCCACCACTTTATATTTTAGAACAAAAGTGCCTCTTCAATGTTAACTTTTATTTCTTTTTCTCCTTTTTCTATTGTCCTTTTTTTCGTGTTTTTTCCTAATTTTCTCCCATTTTCATGTGACCAACTATTTTCTTCTATTTGTTATTATTATCTATATATTATTTTTATTTTGTCGAACTTATTCCTTAACTGCTTCCTTTTGTTTATTTTTTGTTATTATAAGTAATAATGATCAGAAAGTCTACATTATAAATGTTTCATATAGTGTTTCAGTCTTTCATAACAAGTAAGTGGATTGTCCCCAAACTTTGACCCTAATTGCACTTTATCCCCTAAATTTTTTTAATAGGCACTTAACCTTCCCCCCTACTCATTCTCTTTCTTTCTTTTCTACTGCTTTCTTTTCTTTTCTTTTTTATGTTTTTTCGTTCTCTCGTATCACTATTTCCTTCCCATTCTTATTAGGATTACGAATTGTATGCTTATATTAATATTTTTAGTATTCTTCTGCTTATAATTTTATTCTTATTGTAATTTATTTGCTTGTGGATTTTTACTACTAGTAATTCATGACAAACTATATGCCATAAAAAAAGTTGCAATATCCTTATCATAATGAAATACATCTATAATTATCTGGACAGGACAGCAGACGTTAAATGAATGTAGAAGTGTATAACAATTGGACGGTTCATAGAATCATATTTAAATATCTGTAGGTATTTCATACGCAATAGTCTTTGATTCCTCTTTCAGTCAAATGAAATCAAATCAAACATCTTTTAGTCCATGCCAGATGACCATGAACTTGGACCAACTTTACCGTGTTCCTTGTTTCATTAGTTCAAGTAATCGAGAGCTGCTTTTTCCGGTCTTGCCAGCCGGTGTCTCTGAGCTGCAGACACGAGGAAAACACGAATGAGGGAAGGTACAACCTGAATTGGAGTATGATTGGTGCAATTGTGGATGGGAAGGAGGTGAGGTGGTGATCAGAGGCACTATTGAGCCGAGTCGAAAGCACCATACTCGAGCTCGAATTCAATCAGAATCAGTGCAACTCGAGTTCGAACTCGAGCTAAATAAATTTGGACTCGAGCTCGACTCGTTTGAGCTCGAGTAAATATCAGGCCCGATCTACTCGAACTCGAGTTTTGAAATAAACTTATAAATTTTTTCTCAAAATATATAATATAAATATAATATAAAAACTCGATTAAGTTTGTCGAGCACTCGAGTATTTATTTTTGGAGTTCGAACTCGACTCGTTTAATGTAACGAATAGCTCGATCTCGAGCCAAGCTTTTTACCAAGCCGCTCGCAAGTAATTACTCGCGAGTGGCTTGACTTGATTGCACCCCTAGTGGTGATTGTGTGGGAAAGTATCGAAAAATTTTTAAACTATCTTAACACAATTTTAAATTTAAAGATATTTTTAATATATATATATATATATATAAGGTGAAATTTTTTTATATATAATGTTACAATATAATTTCTGAAAAATATCTCGAAAACATCTAGTAATTCATAAAGATTAAAGAGTCCAATCAATAACCTATATCATAACCTTTTTTTTTATACATATATATATATATATATATATATATATATATATATATATATATATATATATATATAGTAAGACAAAAGGCACATTACGAAGATATCATTATCATTGGCTGATGCCAAAAATTTTGAAACATCTTAACTAGCATTTTGTTTCAGTGTTAAGAAATTTATTTATCTTTTTATTTATATTCAATTTATTCACTATTTGAAAGGGTGAAGTTCATTCCTTTCTTTCATCATTTTTCTTGAGAGAACAAAGATGATTGTCAATGGGAGAATCAGCCCAAAGGAAAAGATGAACAAAATGATTTATTTATCACTTCATAAGCTAGTCACAATTGGTATGCAATTGAGAAAACTTGCAATATATTGTTTGTTGTAATTTTCTGAAATCGTTTCTCGGTAGAATGATGTACATATCTTATGAAATTGGGAGGGGACAAGGAATTTGAATTAAAAAATGTTTAATTTTTTAGATATATTTAAATTCATTTTTTTAAAATTAAATTCTGTGAATCGGTGGAAATACTAGGAATTCACTAATGGACAGCTCTAGACATGAAAGCAGTGGGAGCCCAACTGCCAACCTACATCAAGTCGTCTGTTAGTCCTCACGATTCAAGTGTTTTTGGTGGGCTCTTAATTGGGCCGTGATAGGCTGATAACCATTGCCATATCTTGAATTTTAAATATTTTGAAAATGGTTCAATCCTTTTCAGCAGACTTAATAAAGATAATTAAGCTAGTACCGATTGAATGGAAAAGAATGAATTAGAAGGACATCAAAGCCCCCAAGTTCTGGCTTTGATTTCTCAATTTCTTTGACAAGAAATAGGAATGCTTTTCTAATTCTTATCAATTCCAATATTATACTATTGAACAAGGAAAATTTATTTTATTTTTCCAGCAGTAGGAAAAAAAAATGGAAGGTAGGTAATGAATAATAAAACCACTCAAATCCATGTAGATATTGTATTTTCCAATTAAGATGGTAACTTAATTTGAAATGCAACTAGAGATTAATGACTAAATAAAATTACTTTAAATTATGTACTCTTCGCTTAAAGAAGACAAATCGCACAAAGCTATAGGTGCTCAAATTTGTTGCAATTACTGTGGATCATCACAAGAAGGATCACATATGCGTTTATTTCTTCATGATCTACTTTTCTAGTGAAGTTCTTGGAGCATATCAGCTGTCACAAGAACGTTATGACATCTGGATTTCTTTAAGGGCAGAAAACGACCCTATAATTTGTACCACTTGGGCAAGTAAACAAGCTTGTAGGATCATCTCGAGGATCGCAATAAGCATCAGGGCACCTGACCTTGCAGAACGTGGAGAAGAAGGTCGGGCCACAGCTAGTGCCACCGGTGCAACAGTACTCAGTTGTGTTGAAAACAGTGCAGGGATTGTTGCATCCACCAGGAGTTCTTAGCTGAGTTGGGCATTGATCAACAATAGGCGCTGAACATCTGATATCATGGCAAGGAGTAACGGAGCTGAACTCCAATGGGATGTTGAATCCATAAAGGAGGGAAATGTCGAAGTAGTCTAAGTTGTTAGGCTGGTTTAGGACGAATTCAGCTAGCGTATTCGGAGGCTTTCCATAGCCTTGGCATTCGAGGCGCCCGTTGCAATCACCTGTCTGACACTGGCCTTGGCCATTGGCATCAAAGTTGCAATTTGTTCGGCCCCAAATGCGAGCGTTGGTGGTGCCAGGAGCCACATCTAGGGACCACGATTGGCCTCGGTCGAGCCGCCTGCCACCCCCTGGGGAAGCAGCTGCCCAAACTGTGTAGGTACATTGGTTTATAATGTTGAAATTTGCAGCATTGGTGAAGGTTAAGTATAAAATGAAGCACGAAACTAAAAGGGACAAGGTGTAGTTGAACTTCATGGTGTTTCTAACTTTCAAAGTGAACTAGTAGCTATTGTGTTTTCAAGATGCCACAGCTGGCGGTTTACAAAGGGTGATTGGCTGCTATTAACTTGCGTGTACACGTTAATCTTCTTCACCAATTTTCTACATAAGAAATTTCAGAGATTTTGATGGTTATCTTGTATACTAGCTAGGAATGATTCAAAGATGCTGATCTAGCCGTTATCCTTCTGCATAATTTCAGTCAGCTCTCATCCCTCATTTTTTATTTGGCAAAATACACTTTATTATCATGTGATTTAGCAAATTTTCACATGACCCACCTATAGTTTTAAAAACTATATATAACCTCTCATAATTTGAATTAAAGTGTCAAAGCGATAGAAATGATCATTTATAACCGAACTCATGAAAATATCTAAGTTATTCTTGTTTAAAACTAAAATGGGTGAAGTGACAAAAATTTATAAATATAATATGCATGACACTCTAGCCCCATATGGTTTTATATTTTAGCATATAACTTCTTTATGATTTATTGTTTTACCATATAATCTCCTTATGATTTTTAAATATATATAGAATCCCCTGTAGTAAATAAATAATTTTTAACTTTACATAGGGATAATTTTGACATTTTAGTTGACTCCGTTGTGGAATGCAAATTTTTTTCACCTTAATACTTTAATCGAAACCATAAGAGAGTTATATGTAACTTTTGAAATCATAAGCGGGTTATGTGAAAAATGCTAAACCACTGGAGGACACAGTGTATTTTGCCCTTTTTTTTATTCTTCTGGTGATGTAAATCTTGACTGTTTTAAAGATCAACCTTACATGTCGTTCCTCTAGTGTCCAATTCGTGGATTACCTCTATCTAAGATATAAAAAAGAAACAGACATGAATTATCCTTTTGGGTGGAGTGTTTTTCAACCACACTGTTTTCAGGAATCACTTTCTAACATTTCTTAATATCACAAATGCGCTTATTAACAAAATATTATATTACAATTCTCCTAAAATCACTGTGCAAAGCAATTATCTTATGACTTAATTAGTGGAAAGAACTAGCAATTATACAAAAATTGATTGGCCATATTGAAATCTATGTTCAAAATAATAAATGATGATCTGGGATTAAAACATTTGATATTAGCTTCTAATTATTTTAGCGATAACTTTCTGTTATGCGGTAGTCAATCTCAACATTTTGGTAGCGACGATCATTTCAAAATCACACAACTGGAGAGACTAATGATAATATCGTAACTATGTTTTTTTTAATATTATTCCTCATAGTCTAGAATTTCAACAAGATTTTGGAGTTGCAGATTGGGCATAAATCAAGACCATACACCTGTTTGTCTTCGTTCTCTATTCTGATCCCAGTCAAGAGTTAGGCAGATGACTTCATGAAGCTTAGAAAATTCAATCAGCATGCAGAAACATCCGTTGAATTTGAGTTTCTCCGAGTAGACTTCTATGCTGTTCAAAAAGTATTACCTTGCTGCCATTAAATTTTACATGTGAGGTTCTTCATATCCCTAATTTAAGTGTAATTCTAGGACCTCTATTGGAAAATGGTTTTAGTGCTACTACCCTCAGTTAGCAAATTCCTCAAGACAGATTCTTGTTCTGACTTACTGTAATAGATTCATGTCAAACCATGGATCATTAAGGTTATCGGCTGAGATCTTTAAACTTAAGGTCAGATAAAATTCGGATCCATGGAAAAGGACAATGATCAGATCTTTCCACATTCAAATTCAAGAAAGATTCCTGTTTTACCGTGACACAATGACTGGTCCTACTCATTCACCTTGGAGTTGTGCAATTCTTTCTCGTTACGATATTACATTCGAATCTCTTATTTGTGTTGGCTTGCTACCCTGAGTGCTTGGCCAAGTGTTACATTGTACATATACCCTGGTTCTTTGTGAGTGTATGGAGGATGGTTTCATACTTCCTTGAGAGAGCAACTCTTGAGAAGGTCTTTCTGATATGCAACCATTTCTGCAAATTTAAACATATAAAAGATCTTTCTTAAAATTAGCAGGCAGATAATAACTAAAGTACTGCTTCCATCCATACGTAGGATGAAGCCATTAAACTTGTCAAAGTAAGCAAATGCAATTTAAGTTCTCTGTTCGAGCATATGTGTTTACTTGCATCTTGCTTTGAAAGGCTTGCAAGAGACTGCCCTCTATGTGCGACTATCACTTGTCAAAACAAGACAATATTGTGCAGAAATACTTAAAGACAACGAACCAATACAAGATCCATCTTCTTCTTCTTCTTTTTTTGGTTAATTAATGGAGCTTTTTATTGATTGTAGAAGTCGACAGAAAGTGATCTTTTCTTTCCTTTTCTTCCCATCTTGTTTTCCCACTGGAAGATTATTGTTCTGCAAGAGTATGAAGCTAATTAATTTAATTTTCAACAGAAATAAAACTTTCCAGTCACATCATGATCCCAATGAGTTGAAAAAAACCATTCGTACTATTGCTTAATCGATTACAGAACGCAGATAGTTAGCCTCTTTATGTGATCAACCAGAGGAGCAGTTATTGAAGATCCGTTGTTCGTTTCTATGAATTCAAAGATTCTAAGATCTCACTTAATTTGAGCCATTTGTGGCTTATATTTGTCTCTTTTGCCTGATTGCAGAAACATGTAACAGCATCGCTCAATATCTATTCATTGATTATGGGTACAAAAAGTAGCATATAATTGCGTTTAGATTTCCAAATCCAAAAATTTCGAGTAAACATGTTTTTTTCTAAAATCGTGATTAACTAGCTACTTTTAAATGATAAACACAGATTAAGATCATGATTAATGAAGAGGAAAGGGGGGATTTTATCCAGGACATAGGCGAAGAAACTTTGCCAGAGTAGTATGGAGGACGGGCAAAGCTTGTACCCGTCCAAGATGTGGTATCAGATCCATTGAACCACGACACCGAACAGCCTAGATTTTATTGTTACCTCAAATTGCTGGAACTGATTCATGGATGATACTTGAAGAAAAGAGAAAGGAAAACAGAAAGGAGTATGACAGGTGGAAGAAAAGGAAACGGATCAATTGTTTGCAAAGTGGATGTATTCTTGGCTGCTCCTGAACTTTGTAGCTTCTTTTCTTATATGGCTAAGTTAGATGGGGTAAAAGAACTTTTTACTTTTTTTTTAATTTTATCGTATAACTTTTTTTGTCTGCGTTGTTGTTATTTTGTTTTTCTCCAGGATCTTTTATTACAAATCGTAATGGATAATAAAACCACTAAAATCCATGGACACTGTGTTTTCTAATTAACATGGTAACTCAGTTTTGAAATTGAAGAAATGCAATCAGGGGTCAGAGCAAGGGATGTGTAAATCCATCTTACAGATTAATTTGGTAAGCAGTGATGTAGTTCATAAGTAGTTTAAAGAGCCAAAAAGCTGATAAAGAAGACAAACCGCACAATGCTATATGTGCTCAAATTTATTCCAATTTCAGTGAACCATTACAAGATGGTTCTCATATCCGTTTATTTCTTCATAATCTACTTTTCTTAAATATCTAGCTTTATTTAAGGGCAGAAGACAACCCTATAATTTGTACCACTTGGGCAAGTAAACAAGCTTGTGCGATCATCTTGAGGATAGCTATAAGCATCAGGGCACCTGTCCTTGAAGAACCTGGATAAGTCGGTAGGGGCACAGCTTCCTGGGCCATTGGTGCAACAATACTCATTTGTGTGAAAAACAGTGCAGGGATTGTTGCATCCACCTGGAGTTCTTAGCTGAGCTGGGCATTGATCAACAATAGGCGCTGAACATCGGATGTCACGGCAAGAAGTAACGGAGCTGAACTCCAATGGGATGTTGAATCCATCAACGTTGGAAATGTCGATGTAGTCTAAGTTGTTAGGCTGGTTTAGAGCGAACTCAGCTAGCGTATTCGGTGGACTTCCATAGCCTTGGCATTCGAGGCGCCCGTTGCAGTCACCTGTTTGACAGTGGCCTTGGCCATTGGCATCAAAGTTGCAATTGGTTCGGCCCCAAATGCGAGCTTGGGTGGTGCCAGGAGCCACGTCTAGGGACCATGATTGGCCTCGGTCGAGCCGCCTGCCACCGCCTGGGGAAGCAGCTGCCCAAACTGTGTAGGTACATTGGTTTATAATGTTGAAATTTGCGGCATTGGTGAAGGTTAAGTATAAAGTTAGGCATAAAGCCAAAAGGGACAAAGTGTAGGTGGACTTCATGGTGTTTCAAACTTTCTAAGTGAATTAGTAGCTGGCTGTGGTTTCAAGATGCCACAGGTAGGGGGTTTATATAGGGCGATTGGCTGCTATCATTTTGCGTGTACATGTTAATCTTCTTAACAAATTTTCTACATGAGAAATTTCAGAGATGTTGATGGCCCTTTCTTGTATTCTAGGAATGATTCAAAGATGCTTATCCGTCCATATTCTGCATAATCTCATCCCCCATTGTTTATTCTTCTGGTGATGTGAACTTGACTGTTCTATATATCAATGTTACAATTTCTTTTCTTTAGTGTCCAATTCTCTAAGATAGAAAAAAGAAACAGACATGACTTATCTGTTTGGTTGAAATGTTTTTTCAACCTCACTGTTTTCAGGAATCACTATCTAACATCTCTGAAAATATCAAATGTGTTTATTAACAAAATATTTTATTGGAATTTTCGCAAAAACACCATTCAAAACAATTATCTTTTGACTTAATTAGTGGAAAAAATTAGCAATTGTACATATATTGATTAGCTACGCTAAAACCTATGTTTAACATAAGAAATGATGGTTAGAGATTAAAACGTTTGGTATTAGCATCTAATTATTTTCGCGATAACTTTCTGTTGTGAGGTAGTCAATATCAACATGTTAGTATTGATGATGATTTCAAATTCCACACCCAAGGAGACTAAATGCCAATTTCGTAACTCCTAAAGTCTTCTGTTTTGATATTTTTCTTTGGAATCTTCCTCTTAGTCTAGAGTTTCAACAAGATTTTGGTGCAGCCGAATGGGCACAAATCATGACCATACGTCTGTTTGTCTTCCTACTCAAGTCTGAGACCAGCGAATGTTAGGCAAATAGCTTCAAGAAGCTTAGACAATTCAATCAGGATATCAAGTAGAACAAGAGTTTCTATTCCAGGATTTCGTAGAGGTTACTCAAGTAATTGGAGAAAAAAAATTAAAAGCCCAATTTGGGCAGTTTCGTGAAGTGTTCAAGCAGTTTTTTGTGCTTAAACTTTAGTTTTGGCAACTTTCCAGAATAGCATTTCTGGTTGCTACAAGCCTAAAATGCTAAATTCATATTCAATCAAAATTCATTTACTGCTACTTGTGCCCAGTGTAAGGAATGCAGTTTGAATGTAGTTCATGCTTTATTATGGCAAAGGAAAGCTTCAGATCGTCGAACTAAGAACCTATAAGTGGATTTACATTGTGAGGTCTCTGTTGTTGGGTGATTTATAAGAACTTCTGCAAGCGACTTATAGTTCCGGAAACAGATTTTGACCCGTGACGATAATCGAAATCAAATTCACCCAAACTTTTTTTACTAAAAAAAAGGGTAGATTTACGTTGTGGCCAATGGGGCACATATCCCTATTGACCCAAATGAGGTACCTAGAATAGTTTTGAGATTTCTTGAAAATTCTAAATTGTGCCTTGGCTGGATTTTGAAATAGTTATTATATAGCATAGTCATTATTGTATAATTTATCAAAACGTAAACAAAGAAGAAAGCAAATAGCTGCAAATCTTTAGATGCCAAGTTCCAACGTACTTTTGCTTGCATATTTACCTTACCTTGGCCCATAGCTTTGCATTTTTCATTAACAAAGCAGTGGTGGTTTATCAGTCTATTAGATTTGATCCTTTAAAAAAATAATCTTTTGTTATTATTAGCCACTTGTAAATTGGAAAAAAATTGGGAAAGTTAATTCGTGCCCCAACTGAAAAGTATTTCTACCTCTGCCACTGGAACCTCTGTAACGTATTTTTTTTTTATAGTTAATAAAAGGCACATTACAGAGATATCATTTTATCTGTAGGTGATGCCAAAATTTATAAAAACTTCTTAAATATCAGTATGTTTCAATATCAATTTCTTTTTTGCAGTGTTAAGATATTTATTTGCATTTTTCTTTTTATTCATTTTATTTACCACTTAAAAGGATGGAGTTCGTTTCTTTCTTTCTTTTCTTTTCTTTTCTTTTTTTTTGAGAGAACAAAGATGATTTTATTAATGGGAATCACCCAAAAGGAAAAGCTGAACAAAGATGAATTATTTATCAATTCCTTAAGCTAGTCATAATTGGTATTTTATTGAGAAAAACATGTACTATATGGTTTGTACTTTATACTAATTTTCTGAATTGTTTCTCGTTCTACTAATTAAATTCACAACTTAAAAGAAATTTATTTTCCTAAATTAAATTCCATGGGCTGGTGGATTATACGGCCCAATATTGACAATACGAATTCGTTAATAGACGCGGATCAAGGACCGGAAGCCCAACCGGAAACCACCAAATCAATCTGCTCTGTGCTTCAAGCGTGTTTTAGATGGACTGGGCCCGTATCGGGCAGTGATAATTTGTCAATATTTTTAAACTGAAATTTGTCAAATTTGTTCAATTTTCTTAGACTAGAAATAGAAATACTCTCCTAATTCTTACCAATTCCACTATTATATTGAACAAAGAAAAATTATTTTAATTGCCCAGCAGTAGTAAAAGATGGAAGGTGGGTAGGTCAATTTACACCTTCAAGGTATTGCACATGGCAATTCAGATCTCACAAAAATTAGTCAATCATCACTATAGTTTAAACTTTTTGTATTTCCTTTCCAACGTTAAAAGATATTAATTAATATAACAAGACAAGTCAATATACATACAACTCGGGGATGAGATGAGTTGAATAGTTTAAAGGGGAGGGAGTGCAAGTAAGAGGTCTGGGAATTGAATCCTTCCTCTTACATTAAGATGTTGAACATTTAAGTCACAACTTTAAGGAAAAGTTAAAACATGTTTTCGGGTGGTTAGTTGTTGTAGCCATAACAATCACTATGCTGATATTTAGAAGCCAACAGTGGCTGCACTGCTCTTTTTGGTTTTACAGCATTTTATTTCTTATTTGTGCTGGCAATTCTAGTGCGGCTATTAGGTACTCTTCTGACGAAGAAAGACAGGCAAGTCATTTTCGCTTTTCATCAATCATATGGAATAGATAACATTACCCTGGAATATATTTATATAAGTAAGTAATTCTATAATCCTTTTGTATTTCATGATGTGACCGATCAATAAGTAAAAGAGAATACATGGTAAAGGTTTAATTGTTTTATGTGTTTATTTTGTTAATGTTGAAATTTGCAGCTATTGGTGAAGGTTAAGTATAAAGCTAGGCACAAAACCAAAAGTGACAAAGTGTAGGTGAAATTCATGGTGCTTCAAAACCTTCCAATTCAACTGGTAGCTGTTGTGGTTTGGAGATGCCACAGCCAGGGGGTTTATATAGGTGAATTGGTTGCTATGATTTTGCATGGAAGTGTTGATATTTCAACAAATTTCTACATAGAAATTTTAGGGATGTTGATGGTCTTGTTTTGTATCCTAGGAATGATTCAAAAGATGCGGATCTGTCCATAATCCTCCTGCATAATTTCAGTCAGTTCTCATCCCTCGTTGTTCTTTCAATCAATGTTCCAATGCTTTTTCGTAAGTGTCCAATTTGTGGATTACCTCTACGAAAGACCAAAAAAGAAAAAAAAGGACATGAATTTTCTGTTTGAATGGAGCGTTTTTTAACCAGATTAATTTCAGGAATTATTTCTAACATCTTTTAATATCACAAAAGCAGTTATCACTAAGATGCTATATAATGATTTTCCTAAAAATAGCGTTCAAAACAATTATATAATCACTTAATTTTTTATCCTTAGAGCAATATTTAACTCTTTTCTGATACATAATTTGAATAGATATGCATTATTTTATTGTGTGTATTTAAATTTTTGGTAGACAACTACATTATAATGTTGTATTCACTACATACCAAGTATTTTCGTTCATGTATATTACTTTTTCCAAAAGCATAATAATATTACGTAATAAATATAACAATTGAACTGAACTTCATGGAACTTCTAGCAGTGGCTCCAATTCCAGCTTTTAAGAGTGAATTAGTACTATTTAGCATGAGTGCATCAAATTATCAATTTGGCATCTACGAGTTTCCACATCACTTGAGCTCCTTAATTGCACCTTTATCTTACTTAGTAAACTTTCATATCACCATCTTTGTTATTTCATGAGATTATCATTTTCAATTGTTTTGGGGTCTACCTTAGCATGGAAATCCCCATTTTTGTTTTGAATTTACACCAACATCCCATTTCTTCAATGTTTGTAAGACAAACTTCTCTTACTCTGGATTTCGTGGTAACATTATGTAATACACTAAAACAAATTATTTTGATTTATATGACACCTTAGTATTTGACTGGAGAGATAGTCTGAATTCCAAAAAAAAGGAATTCTCCTGTGTAAGTTAAACCTAAATATGACTCAAATTTTTGAAGTGCGGGGAACAAAGTATTTTGACAATCTAATTTAAAACTAGAGATCTGTAAATCCTTCTTACAGATTAATTTAGTAAAACTTCATTAGTTTTGAACTGGTGATCTAGTTCATAAGTTGTTTAAAGAGCCAAAATGCTGATAAAGAAGACAAATCGCACAATGCTATATGTGCTCAAACTTATCCCAATTCCAGTGAACCATTACCACAAGGTTCACATATGCGTTTATTTCTCATAATCTACTTTTCTGGTGAAGTTCTTGGAGCATATAAGCTGTCACAAGAACCTTAAATATCTAGCTTTATTTAAGGGCAGAAGACAACCCTATAATTTGTACCACTTGGGCAAGCAAACAAGCTTGTGCGATCATCTTGAGGATAGCTATAAGCATCAGGGCACCTGCTCTTAAAGAACCTGGAGAAGTCGGTCGGGCCACAGCTTCCTGGGCCATTGGTGCAGCAGTACTCATTTCTTTTAAAAACAGTGCAGGGGTTGTTGCATCCACCTGGAGTTCTTAGCTGAGCTGGGCATTGATCAACAATAGGTTTCGAACATTTGATAACGCGGCACGGAGTTACAGAGCTGAACTCCATTGGGATGTTGAATCCATCAACGTTGGAGATGTCGATGTAGTCTAAGTTGTTAGGCTGGTTTAGGGCAAATTCAGCTAGCGTATTTGG